GCGTATTTCAGCGCGTAGGAACGCGAGTACAGGAGCTTCTTTGGGGCGTATTTCCGCGTGTATCCATTAGGATACAGCCAGATAGCCCTCGCAAACGCGCGTTTCGTGGACCGCAAATCGCGGTAAAAACACTCGGCCCGTCATACGCGCATATTTTGACTGCCCAGGTGGGAACCCAGCCTAAGAGTCACATGACAAAAAAAATTACTTGGAAAACACCTCCAAACACTGTCGCCCCGGTCTGAATCCAGGCTTATGTATTTCATCTGTGTATATAGCTGTTTGCAGTAATGTAACTTTAAAAAATAACTCTGGGCACATTAAAAAAACATACCCTTGCAGTGGGGCTACCCTCGAACTGCAAGGTGCTCATTTTGGTCTAGGGGCCGGAATAAAGCAGGATTACTGACATGATCCCAGCTTACTCCAGTCTGCTAGACCGTTCCCCGCAGCCTCCTCTCTCCCGGGCTCCGGTGGGCTAAGGATCACTAATGCCATTAAGTCTCATGCAGGTCCATTGACTTGCATTAGAAGTGATGACACAGAGGGACATTCCACTACCGAAGCAGAGATAGGTGAGAGCTGACTGGCGCAGGACCGAGGATTAGGTAAGCTTTGAGTTCCCTAGACAAAATGAGCACTTAACCCTTGCCGTGCAGAGGTACCCCCATTGCAAAAGTAACTTTTTTTATTTGCCTGGAGTTCCTCTTTAACAAATTCTACTTTAGTAGTAATGAACCCGGTCCTGGTATCAGCTCCGCTTTCTTGGTCTGTTCAGGAACAATGACCTAAAGAGCATACTTCGATAATCCTATTTATTAATGTGATGCAACCTGCACCTCTGATTTGACTGACATTATTCTGGCCTGCAGATATAAATTTCACACATCTCTTCATTGGGGCGTAGAACATACCTTTGGTGCATATTTGCACTTGTGTATGGAATGTAACTGTTATACAATAAAATGTGAGATGGAACAACAGGTTTAGTGACTTCATTTCTGACTTTTGACCCTCACACCTTCCATAGTTGCTCCTGAGATGTGAGGAAGCTTGCTCGGTGATTGGGGGAATTTATTACCTTGGAGATAATTATATGAATACCAAATGACCTCAATCAGCTACAACAACAATACTTCCTGAGACCTGACAATCTCCTTTTTACAGGGATCCCAACCTGAAATAAGTCATTTCAGAGAGGTGTTGTTTTTTAAATGTATTATTCTGACAGAGGCCGCTGTCAAACCAGAATAAAAAGAAAAAAAAAAAACAGAGCAGGGGAATCGCCGGGGGAAGTAGAACCACTAGGTATCCCAGAAAGATAAAATGTTTCTCTTGCTGGTGTCAGGGAGCCGCTATCTTTTAGCGGGTGACTCTAGGAACATCCGGGAGAGTTGGGATGTCTGAGATTGCATCCAGGGACAATCATCTATCAGAACTGCAGGCAGGGCGGGATTTCCCACAAGGCCAACCAAGGCCCGGCCTCGGGGCAGCAGGGAATAGGAGGGCAGCAGGGGTGTGGAATTCCTATTGCCCGATGCCTGTGACATGCAGTTCGGGGTGCTGGGCGGGTAGTTGTTTTCTATATTTAGCCCGGCTTTGGGCAAGCAGAGCTAAATGTACAGGGGGAAAGCTGCCGCTTGTTTTGTACAAGTGATTACTTGTATGCACCCTGCAGGTCTGCCGTTCTCTAT